ATTGTATACACTTTTTGGAGTCTAAGATTATAGTAAAAGAATAGGAATATAAATCCACAAAGATCTGGAGGAGGCGAGAGGAAGAGACAGCTGAAATCAGTATTTGGGAAACTAGAAAGGAGATGGGCAACTAATAAATGATTTCATGAATTAGAAAATGCTGAAAACTGAAGAGAGATAACCCAACAAGGAGCAAACAGATTCTTTGCACAGAATCTGGAAAAGTGTTAGGAATTGAGGGTATCAAGTACAGTACTTCTGAAGTCAGGAATTACAGGATAGAATAGGAATAGAAGGATTGGTTGATGGTCTTTATCATTTTAATACCCTAGAACCCCTTCTCCACTCCCATACACCCAGACAACTACCCTTTCTACCTTGACGGAAGACTGAAGGTTTTTACCCAGGAGACATTAACTAGGCAGGCTCCAGATGGCTGAGGTGGGAGTGAAGCACCTAAATGAAAATGAAGATTAAGTGAAAGTCAGGTCAACATGCTGAACCTAGAGCAGTTGTCTTTTTTTGCTTGGTTTCCAAACTGTCAGGCTTACGTACCCACAACAAAATATTAAAGGATTCTTGGCTGGGGAAACTTACCAGCCATGGCAAAGTATTTAACAGATATGAACTATGGGAATTTATCTGGTTAAACATCTGGAGCCATCAGATCACCTGGAGAGTAAAGCTGCTGGTCAGGAAGCATTGTTCATATACCACAGCTTCTAGTCAGCTTTTATTTTATGTTTTGAGACAGGGCCTCACTCTGTCACCCAGATTGAAGTGCAGTAGCGCCATTAACTCACTATAGTGCACGTAACTCACTATAGTCTGGAACTCCTGGGCTCAAGCCATCCACCCACCTCAGCCTCCTGAGTAGCTGGGACTGCAGGCATAGCCTGTATATATAAAATAATATATATGTAAATATAGCACATCTGGCTAATATTTTTCATAGAGTTGGGGGTGTCTCACTATATTGCCAGGCTGGTCTTGAACTCCTGGGCTTAAGCAATCCTCCCGCCTTGGCCTCCCAAAGTACTGGGATTACAGACATGAGCCACTGTGCCTGGCCCTAGTCAGCTTTTAAATGCCTCACATTTGAACATAAACGTACAGCCAAGGGTCACCTGCCATAGGATGAAGGTCTAATGAAAAAGAGACCAAATAGGAAATAAACAAGTAGGAAATGAAAGGAGCTGAGTATAAATAGATTTACTTCAGGGAACAGAAGAAACTTCAACAAATAAAACTAGTATTCTTTAAAGAGAAGATAATTACATCTGTGAACGATGAAAGAGGTTCTGCTTTTAAAAGAAAGTATTCAGAAAAATTGCTGTGACAGAAGATATTTCTTAAAAATTTAATACAAGATTTAGATAATAAATCTGAAGAATTCTCCCCCCCACCCCGCCAAAAAAAAAAAAAAAAAAACAAAAACCAGAAGAGCAACAAGAATTAGAAAATAAGAGTGAAATGATAAGGAAATTAGAGGACCAACCAAGAAGAGTTCTTCATCTAACACAGTGGAAGTAAACTGTGTCCCAGAACCGAAGGATGTGAATTTCTAGGTTTAAAGGGCCTATCCAGTGCCCTGATCAATAAAACAGAAACAAACAAAAAATAAAACTCCAGCATTCTGAATGTATAGTTCCAAAAAGAACAGACTGATTCTTAATCTTACTTCTGAGAAGAAGAATGGGGGCAGGGAACGAGGGGCTAGCTCTCAAACTACATTTTAACAAATTCAGGGGAAAAGGAAACCTTCTTAACTTCAAATTATATGAAAGTGCTATTCGGAATCCCCAGTGGGAAGTTCCAGCAGTTCTGTGACGAAGACAAAGTTGTGGAGAGGAAGTATATTTCGGGTATCTCCAGCAACTTATTCATATCCAGAATCAGAGAGCCCTGTCCAAAGAGAGAAGTCTATTATACCTGGCTAAGACTGAAGAGCCATATGATACCATTAAGGAAGCAGAAAGAGTAGAACTAGAAAATACTGGGGTGGGGTTTGGAAGAAGCAGAGATCTTAGTGCCAATAAAGTACTCCTAGAAATGAGTGTATAACCTTGGAAAGCAAGGATTGTGTCTCTTAAGAGGCAAGCAGAGCTGGCAATAAAGGCCCTCCTGAACCAGATTACGTTTGGAGATTAGACAAGGAACAAGAACAAGGCACCATATTATAAAACAGCAATCCTGTGATTTAGGAACAGAGTGAACCCTAAAGAAACATGACAACTGCCCTGCCCCTCCCTACATCCTGAATCTTCGGATAACAATCCAGGATAATTCTTCTCATTCAGACACGTGTAACAAAAATAGTAAGTATAACATCTATACAATGACTCTCTAGTAGATTATATTTTTTATGTTGGTTTTTTGTTCTTTTATATTATTTTTATTAAATATATAATTCACTTGCCATAAAACTCACCATTTAAAAATGTACAGTTCATTGGTTTCTAATATATTCCCAAGGTTGTGCATCCATCACCACTATCAATTGTATTATTGACCCTAGTGCTTTACTACTTATTATATTCATGCCAAGATCCTATGCAGTTCTTTCCATTAAAGGGACAGAGATATTTCCTTGACTTTGTGTTTGGCTGTGTGACTTGCTAGAAAGTGACACCATGTCAGCTTCAAGCCTAGGCCCTAAAAAGCGTTGGGTATTTTTATTTGTTCTCTTTGTATCTGTGCCATTTCCATGAGAAAAACATGTCTCTGCCAGCTCATTGGCTGAAGGAAGATGAAAGATATGAGAATGAGGACCACCCCATCAGTTAAGCTGAATTCATTCAGCACTGTAGAGATGTGAGTGATAATAAATGATTGTGGTTGTAAGCCACTGAACTTTAGGACGGTCTGTTAATAAGCAGTAGTTAACTGAACAGTTATATGACAAAAAGCCAGGTATGGTGGCATGCACCTGTAGTCCCAGCTACTCGGGAGGCTGAGGCAGGGGAATTGCATGAACCCGGGAGGCGGAGGTTGCAGTGAACCAAGATTGCGCCACTGCACTGCAGCCTGGGCGCTCCATCTCAAAAAATTAAAACAATTTGAAAAAATAAATAAGCCATTTTAACTGGGGTAAGATGGTGTCTGATTTCTCTGATCATTTATGATGTTGAGGATTTTTTCGTATATCTTTTGGCCATTTTTATGTCTTTTGAAAAATGTTTATTCAGGTCTTTCACCTGTTTTTTATTTTTTTATTTTTATTTTTTTTTGAGACGGAGTTTCGCTCTTGTTACCCAGGCTGGAGTGCAATGGCGTGATCTCGGCTCACCGCAACCTCCGCGTCCTGGGTTCAGGCAATTCTCCTGCCTCAGCTTCCTGAGTAGCTGGGATTACAGGCACGCACCACCATGCCCAGCTGATTTTTTTTTTTTGTATTTTTAGTAGAGACGGGGTTTCACCATGTTGACCAGGATGGTCTCGATCTCTTGACCTCGTGATCCACCCGCCTCGGCCTCACAAAGTGCTGCGATTACAGGCGTGAGCCACCGCGCCCGGCCTCACCTGTTTTTTAATTGGACTATTTGTGGGTGTGTGTGGGGCTGTGTGTGTGTGTGTGTGTTTGCTTGCTTGCTTGCTTGCTGTTGTTTGAGCTCCTTATATATTCTGGTTGTTAATCTTTTGGTAGGTGAGTAGTTTGCAAATATTTTCTCCCATTCTGTGGATTGTCTCTTTACTTCATTGTTTCCTTTGCTGTGCAGAAGCTTTTTTTTTAGCTTGATGTAATCCCATTTGTCTATTTTTGCTTTGGTTGCCTGTGCTTTTAAGGTCTTAAACAAAAAAAACTTTGCCCAGACCAGTGTCCTGGAGCGTTTTCTTCTAGGAGTTTCATAGTGTTGGGTCTTAGATGCCTAGATGTAAGTCTTTAATCCGTTTTTGTTTTTTGTGTATGGTATGTTTCATTCTTCTGCATATAGTTACCCAGTTTTCCCAGCACCATTTATTAAAGAGACTGTTCTTTTCCCATTGTATGCTTTAGCTCCTTTGTTGAAGATGAATTGACTATACATGAATTTTACACCTGGCTTCTCTTGTTCTGTTCCATTGGTCTATGTGTCTGTTTTTATGTCAGTGCTGTAGTTCTGTAGTAAATTTTGAAGTCAGGGAGTGTGATGCCTCCAGCTTTGTTCTTTCTGCTCAGATTGCTTTGGCTATTCAGGGTCTTCTGTTGTTCCACATAAATTGTAGGATTTAATATTTATGTAAAGAATGTCATTGGAATTTTTATAGGGATTGATTGCATTTAATCTATAAATTGGCTTTGGGTAGTATTGTCATTTTAACAATATAAATTATTTCAGTCCATGAGCATAGAATATCTTTCCATTTTTTAATGTCCACTTCACTTTCTTTCATCATTGTTTTATAGTTTTTCTTGTATTGATCTTTCAGTTCTTTGGCTAAGTTGATTCCTACGTATGCTGTATTCTTCGTAGCTGTTGTAAATGTGATTGCATTCTTGATTTCTTTTTTAGATTGTTTGCTTCTGGCTTATATCAGCGCTACTGATTTTTGTATGTTGGTTTTGTATCCTGTAACTTTACTGAATTTGTTTATAGATTCTAACAATTTTTTGGTGGAGTCCAGGTTGTTCAAGGGGAATCACTTAAACCTGGGAGGCATAGGTTGTAGTGAGCTGAGGTTGTGCCACTGCACTCCAGCCTGGGCAACAGGGCTAGACTCTGTCTCAAAAAAAAGAAAAAAAAAAGAAAGGATTTAAATCTATCCTCTATTTTGGGCCAGGGAAAACTGGCCCAAAATTTGAACTGGCAAAAGATGATATAAAGAAAATGAGGTTGGTGCAGAATAACAGAAACATTCAATACCCAGAAAATAGTAGAGGAGCTACCTGTCAGCTACTCAAAGAAAGAACATGTGAGCCAAATACTGTTTTTGTCCTGCCATGGTGTCCTTTGGGTATAAAGACTACTTAGTGGCTGGTAGTTTTAAACATTCAGGGTTTTATATCTTTTTTTCCCCCCCTCATTAAGCTTTTTTAATGGGTCTGAAAATTCTGTGACAAATTTTTGGTCAAGTTGTTTCCATTAAAGAGTGCTGATTTTAAAAACTAATAACTTAAAACTGCCACAGCAAAAATGAAAACCAAGGTGGTCCACAAAATATTCTTTCCTTCTGAAGGTTTTACGACGCATTGTTACCATTGACCAGTCTTTTACTACTAAACTTAAATGGCCAATTGAAGTAAACAGTTCTGAAACCGTTCTTCCACCACTGATTAAGACTGGGGTGCCAGGTATTAGGGATAATATTCATTTAGGCTTTCAGGCTTTGTGGGCAGACTTGGTGACCTTGCCAGCTCCAGCAGTCTTCTTGTCCACTGCTTTGATGACACCCACAGCAACCGTCTGTCTCATATCACGAACAGCAAAGCGACCCAGAGGTGGATAGTCTGAGAAGGTCTCAACGCACGTGGTGTTCTTGACAGGAACCCTATCAACGATGGCAGCACCACCAGATTTCAAGAATTGAGGGCCATCTTCCAGCTTTTTACCAGAACGGCAATCAATCTTTTCTATAAGCTCAGCAAACTTGCATGCAATGTGAGCCGTGTGACAATCCAGTACGGGGGCCTGGATGGTTCAGGATAATCACCTGAGCAGTGAAGCCAGCTGCTTCCATTGATGGGTTGTTTTATATGAGCCTTTCTTGAGTAAACAGCTAGAAGACAGATACCAGCTGATCAGTAAATGAAAAAGGAAACTTCAGCAAAAGAATTAACTGCTAAATTCTCAATAATTAACTAGAAGATACTGTTAGGGATCATTGTCTTTCTAATTTTAAAGGGAGTACTTTAATGTCCCACCATTATATATGTAGGCTGCTTTCTAGATATCTGTTTATCAATCTATTTACTATGAATTATCTTTTTAATCTCAAGTGGCTGTTGAGTTTTATGAACTATTTTTTCTATAGTAAGGCATAGGTTTTTCTTTAATCTCTCAGCAGGATTACCTTTTTTTTGGGGGACAGAATTTCGCTCTTATTCCCCAGGCTGGAGTGCAATGGCTTGATCTTGGCTCACTGCAGCCTCTACCTCCCAGGTTTAAGCAAGTCTCCTGCCTCAGTCTCCCAAGTAGCTGGGCTTACAGGCATGCACCACCACACCCAGCTAATTTTTGTATTTTTAGTAGAGACAGGGTTTCTCCATGTTGGTCAGGCTGGTCTCGAACTCCTGACCTCAGGTGATTCGCCTGCCTTGGCCTCCCAAAGTGCTGGAATTACAGGCATGAGCCACCGTGCCCAACTTCAGTATAATTAATTTTATGAATAAATTGTCTAATGTTATACCTTCCTTCCTTGAATTGAGCTTTACCTCAATCATGTTTTATGTTTTATATATATTGCTAGTTTAGGTTTTTCTGATGTTATTATTTAAGATTTTTTACATGTATTGTCATTGATGATATTACCTTAAATTTTTTTTTTTTTTTTGAGACAGTGTCTCCTGTATCACCAGGCTGGAGTGCAGTGGCGTGATCTCGGCTCACTGCAACCTCTGCTTCCAGGGTTCAAGCAATTCTCCTGCTTCAGCCTCCTGAATAGCTGGGACTACAGGCACATGCCACCCCACCCAGCTAATTTTTGTATTTTTAGTAGAGATGGGCTTTCACCATGTTGGCCAGGATGGCCTTGATCTCTTGACCTCGTGAACCACTGTGCCAGGCCTTAAAATTTTCTTTTATAGTTGTTCCTTTTTGGGTTTTCATTCAAGATTGTGCTATGTAATTTAAGCAAGTTTTCATTCTGGGCCAGGCATGGTGGCTCAAGCCTGTAATCCCAGCACTTTGGGAGGCTGAGGCAGGTGGGTCACCTGTAGTCGGAAGTTTCAGACCTGCCTGGCCAACGTGGTGAAATCCTATCTCTACTAAAAATACAAAACCTAGATGGGCATAGTGAGATTACAAAACCAGTAATCTCAGCTACTTGGGAGGGTGAGGTAGGAGAGTCACTTGAACCTGGGAGGTGGAAGTTGCATCACTGCACTCCAGCCTGGTGACAGAATGAGACTCCATCTCAAAAAAAAAGAAAATTTTTTATTCTTGAGAAAAATGTTTATGTGGGAAAATTTCTGGGCTTGAAACTTATATACATGTAACAATTAACTCTATCAATTAATAGTTGTAGGTATATTCTGTTTTCTTAAGTAGGTTTTGATAATTATTTCTAGAAAATTCCCTTTTATGATTTCAGTTTTTTTCTATATTGTTTAGATTACTCTTATGATTTATAGTACCTGTTAAATCACACCCCTTTTTATTTGTATTGTTTGTTTTCGGTGCCGTGTTTTGTCCTAGATTAATTTGACTAAATATATGTTAATATTTTTGTCAAAAAGCTAATCTTTCTTCGGCCATTTTTTCTTCTATTCAGTATCTGATCATCTCTTTTTATTATTTGCTTTGGGTTTACTGTATTGTTCCATTTTCTAAGTTCTTGAATTGACTCTTTAGCTTGTTGATTTTTTAAAATGTTTTTCTTCCGTAATGTATACATTTGAAACTAACAGTTTTCTTGTAGATATTTAAGATAATATCTTAAGCTTAGATAAATCATGTTACTCTTTAACTTGTGAATCATTTATGAGTAGGATTTTTAAAATTTCCAAACATGGAGCTTTTGAGATTAACTTTTATGGTTACATTGTCATTTTACTTGATTTTGGTCAGAGATCAATTGTTTGTTAGTACTCTTGGCAGTTCCCTTATGGCCAAATTCATAACCAGTAGGTTTTGTTTGGGGGCTATCAGCTCAACTTTATTGAGGTCTGATTTTCATACAACAAAATGAACACAATTTAAGTATATAGTATTTTATATACTATGTACTTAATTTTGGTAAATGTATATACCATATGACGACTACACCAATAAAAATATAGTGTGTGTCCATCACCCCAGAAAGTTCCCTTGTGCTTACCCTACTTGGCAGTCAATTTTCCTATTCTTGCCCCCTGCTGTAGGCAATCAACAAACGGCTTTTTATCACTATAAATTAATTTTTCTGCTTCTTGAACTACATATGTATAGAATTCTACAGTATGTACTCTTTTTTTGCAAGAGCCGTATTCATAGGATAAACAAATAGCAAATGTACAGCCTTAGCTCCCCAAACTTCACAGCCTCAGTGCAGAAAGATCATCTTCCAGCAGTCAGCTCAGACCAGGGTCATCAACAGTTTCTGGTTTCAGAACAGGTTCTACTACTGTCACATGACCCCCCATGCTTCCTCAAAGGCTGTGGTAAGTTTTACACAGATGAGGGCAGCAGAAAGAGGATAGTTGCTGATGGACACCATCTTTGTATACTCCACACTGACCTTACCATAGGCAAAGGCCCCCACCGCAGAAACAGTAGGATCACTGCTGGGCATTAGCTCACGCCGGGCACTAGCTCACAGATCACTGATAACCGAGATGGAAAAAGAAGTGCCAACTTTCATATATCCAACTGGAAAGTGATCTGATACTGGATTCTTAGTTACCCATGAGGCCACAAAAGTGGCCAAAGGTTCTGGGAATTCGGGTCTGGTGGTTCACTTCAATCAGAACATTCTTCTGTGTGTGGATATAAACTTGCAGCAAGCCAGCTCGGTTCAGGGGACTATCCATCAGCATCAGCAAACTCTGGTGGGCTATGTCTGGCCGCACTTCCCCAGGGTCCCGTCCATTCTTCAACAATGTAGACTTGTGCTTGTCACAGTTGAGTAGCTCATATGTCTTCCCTACCTTGACTGTCTCCAGAGTGGCCCTTTCCAGCACCACAATAAACCTACGGCCTCCAATCTTGTTTCCTGCCCCGACTCAGGGCCTCTTGGGGGCCACAGCATTCCAGTCCTGTGCCTGCTTCCCACTGCTTTGCTCATGAGCTACAGTATGTACTCTTTTGTGTCTGATGACTTTTGCCCAGTTTAATGTTTTAAGATGCATGCATGTATATTTTTCTTTATCTTTTTTTTTTTTAATCAACTCACTGCCTTTGCTTTATTGCTGAGCACTTCAGATAGACACAGTGTCCACGTTACCACTAGGCCCTCTGGATTGTGGTTTACTTAGGTTCAAAATTTGCAGCAGGCTCACGACGAAACCTGCAAGGAGCTGTGGGTCTGAGATTCAGAAAGTAACGTTTAAATGCTCAGGGACAAAGGGGAGCATAGGCCAGGGCTGGATGCCCAGGGACCTGGCCGGCCTGCAGCGTTCGAGCCGCTGTCAAAGATATGCCCCTAGCCCAGTTCTTCCCTGGATAGTAGCACATGGTGTAATCATACACACAATCACACCACCTTGCACTCGACCCCAAAAGATTGTTTTTCATTGTTTTATTGCTGAGCATTATTATGTATGAATATACAAGTTTGTTCATTCACCTATTGATGAATATTGGAGCTGTTTCCAATTTTAGGCTACTGTGAAAAAGCTGCTCTGATCATTCATGTGCAAGTGTTTTTTGTGGATGTGTTTCATTCTCTTAGGTAAATATCTAGGTATAGAATTGTTGGTTCATATGGTAAGTATGTGTTCATAAGAAACTGACATTATTTTTTTAGTTGACTATATAATTTTTCATTTAGCTTTATATTTCTATTAGGAGTGTTCCAGTTGCTCCTTATCCTTGCCAATGTTTAGTATTTTCAGTTTTTTTAGCCATTCTACTGGAGCAGCAGTATTTTATTGTGGTTTTAATTAGCACTTCCCTGATAACTAATAATGTTGACCCATTTCCCATGTTTCCTTTTATTATATGCTTTCTTTTGTAAAATGTGAGTTTTTTATATATTCTAGGTACAAGTCCTTTGCAAATATTTCCCATTTCTTAATAATGATACCTTTGGAAGATCAGATGGTTTTAATTTTCAGGAAGTCTGATGTATACATTTTTCTAAGTCATTAATTTGGTGCCCTATGAAAACATTATGTACCCCATAGTCAAGAAAATTTTTTCCTATGATTTTTTTAATTTTATAATTTTAGCCAGTTTTAGTTTTTACGTTTGGGTCTATGATTCATTTTTGAGTTAAATTTTATGGTTCAAGGTATAGAGGTTGGAGGGTCATGTTCCCCCCCCCCCATTTTAGTTGTTCTGTAGCACCATTTATTGTAAAGATATTCTTTCTCCATGCAGTTATATTAGCAGTGTTGCTGAAAATCTGTTGGCTGGACTCTGTTCTGTTCCATTGATCTATATGCATTTTTAAAATATCAGTACCACATTGTCTTGAGTACTTCAGCTTTGTAGTAATTCTTAAAGTCAGGTAGTGAGTCCTTCAACTTTGTTCTACTTTTTCAAAATTGTTTTGGCTAGTCTTAGTGTTTTTTATGTAAATTTTAGAATCAGATCATCAGTTCCTGCATACTGAGATTGTGCTGAATCTATAGATCTATTTTGTATCTTAATATCCCCTAGCGAAGTTAGAAAACCAGGCAGTAATATCAAAGGGCACAAGCCCAGATTCAAGCTGGAAGACAGAGTTCTCCAGAAAGGATGCTTCCAAAAAAAAGAAACTGCTCAAAAAAAATCGTTGATCTGTCTTTATCCAGAGAATATTGTTAGATGTCTAGAATTTCAAGCTGAAATGATGATTGGTAACTGAAATTTAAGCAGAGCTATTTTAAATTCAGAAAACAAAACATGGTG